CTACTTGTGCACACCCAAAGTTGAAGGTCATAAATGTGATTTAAAGCCAAGTAAAAGGACATATTTATGTATTATGCCTTTATAAATGGGAAAAGGGTCAAATATGCCTCTAAACTATTCGAAAAGGTCTAGATATACCCGTCGTTTAAAGTTTGGTTCACTGATGCCCTCGCTGTCCAACTTTTGGTCCAAATATGCCCTTATGGGCGTTAGTTGTCATGTTGGACATATCCAACTCATTTTTCATTTCTTTAATGCTAAATAAAATTGTCATGTCATTTTGGCCTTATCACATAACATTTATATGAAAATGAAAAGATATTCAGACTCATAAACACTTAGTCCGACCCATAAATCAACCCCCTTTTAAATAAATTATCCGATCAATTTTTAACAATTTTGTTTAATTTTTATATTTTTCGACAAATTTCGAAAATGAGTAATTGATTAATAATAAAATAGGAAAATATGAAAAAAGTATAAAATTAACGCCAAAAATACATAAATAATTACAATAACCTTAAATTCAATTTAAACATTTTATTATTTTTTTTATTTTTTTTTGATAAATCCCGAAATGAGTAATTGATTAATAAAAAGTATGAAAAAAATATAAAATTAACGCCAAAAATTAAAAAATAAATACAATAACCTTAAATTCAACAATTTCAACATTTTTTAATTTTTAATTTTTTCGATAAATCCCAAAAATGAGTTTATCAAACAAAAAAATATGAAAAAATATATAAAAATTACACAAAAAAATCACAAATAAAAAAATAGGAAAATATGAAAAAATATAAAATAAAAAAATTGTTGAAATTATTGAATTTAAGTTTACTATATTTATATGTGAATTTTGACGTATATTTTTTATTTTGTTTTCATATTTTTCCCTCTTTATTAAAAAATTACTCATTTTCGGGATTTACCGAAAAATAAAAAAATTAAAAAAATTGTAGATTGAAATGTTACTATATATATTTGTGAAGTTTTGGCGTTAATTCATATTTTTTTCATACTTTTCATATTTTTTATTAATCAATTACTCATTTTCGAGATTTATCAAAAAATAAAAAATTTTAAAAAAATTGAAATGTTAGATTTAAGGTTACTATATTTATTTGTAAATTTTTTGCGTTAATTTTATATTTTTTTCATATTTTTCCTATTTTTTATTAATCAATTACCTATTTTCGGGATTTACCGCAATAATAAAAATTAAACAAAATTGTTAAAAATGGGTCGATAGTGAATTTAAAAGGAGCTTATGGGTCGAATTAGGTGTTTATGAGTCTGAATATCTTTCCATTTTCATATAAATGTTATGTGGTAAGGTCAAAATGAAATGACAATTCCATGTGGCATGTCTAGACCTTTACAAATAGTTTAGGGGTATATTTGACCATTTTTCCCTTTATAAATACATGGCCTTTTTTTTTTATATAAAATAAAGCCTATTAGAACATAAATAGAGTCCTTGTACAATTATACTTGCTAGTCAACAAGACTCCTTAACTTGTTCATTTTTATGAGAAAAAAATACATTTTCAAACCTATCTTTTATTTCATATTCTCTAATTTAAAAGTTAAAAAATCGGTAGTAGAAGTTAGACACTGAAAGCCCGCTGCGTTCACATTACTTGACAAGGTACAACGAGAATGGTTTTGTTTTTCTACGACCTAAAGGGTCACACAGAGACAACTATACCGTTGCTATAAGTTAGAGGAAATGTTCTGTTTCACATCATATATCTGTAATCTGATCTTAGGCAAGTTAAACCAATGATTACACAAAATCTATATTCATATTGCCTTCCCTTAAAAGAAATCCAAGTATCAAGCTAACATAAACAAAATCAAATTTTACGACTAAGAAAATGGAAGATGAAAAAACAGTTTTTTCTGCGAAAATGGAAGTGCATTTCGTTACTTATAAGAGAATAAGGGAATTCAAATTGCGATTGAATAAACTACTTCACCAATCTAATAGAAAGAAATATTTCTCCAACGTGCTAACGGTCCTTATTGAGAGCTCTTCTCTTTTGTGTTCTACAGGATGCCAACTCTGATTTCTCTGATCAAATTTGTAGGCTTTTAACTCTTTTAATTGACCACGCTTTTGATGAGAAAGAGCGCGTCTCAAATTCTTCATATGCATCAAACAACTAATATCATGAATAAGAGCTCGTCTCAAACTCTTCATATGCATCAAACAATCCATGAAACATATGAACATTTCACTTGTCGATTGTAAGTTGAGTTTCTTGGGACGACAACTCCAGAGCAAGGCATCCACAAAAGTCAAGCACTCCCCAGTTGGCCTTAAAAAGTTTACATCTAAAACGTCCACTTTGGGGATAGCATCTCTAAAGTACTGCATATGCAAATAATTCATGTTGATCTCCTCGTATTTGTGAAAATAAATGGTAACTTGAGACCAAGAGATCGAATCTGATAGAGATTGCCTCAGCTGACAAAACCATGCCGCGTCTACATTGAACAAGGGATAAAGAATCATTTGTGACTGCTTCAATTGTCTTGATTCTAGTGCAAATTCAAGCTCAGGAATATCATCTCCTTTATACTCCAACAAAACCAAATTCGGAGCATAAATTTCTCCGATGTTCTTGCAATTATGAATCTTTAACACCTTTAAGGATCGACACCTGCAAATGTTAAACCTTCCTAAAGAAATGTTAGCTAATACCAATTTCTCGAGGCAGTAAGGTCTGAAGATAAGGCGGTTCAGATACATATCAGATATCTTCGTACATGATATCTCTAAAGATTTCAGATTCTTATATTTATCAATACTCAATTTATTCAAACAAAAACTAGAATAATACAAGTGTTCAAGAGTTGGTGCATCGATTCTAACGGGATGGTCAATATCAATGGCAAGTGACTTGATCTTAGGAAGATTCCGGAGCTCAACGTTTTTCAGCCGACTACAATTCCTGATGATTAAATCAACAATGAAGGGACAACTAGAGAGTATAGTCTGAAGCATGTTCTTATCTAATCGTACACGAGATAGAGAAAGCTTTCTCAAAGAATGACACGTCACAACATGACTAGTACTCGATAACGAAACATGCATCAGATCACAACCCATCAGGACTAGTTCTCCTAAATAATTTGCTTCCAAGAATTTGAAAATAGGAAAAGGGTATATTTTTGAATGTGTAACATCTCTATACACTAGATGTCTAACACCATTTTGAAGAGCAATGCCGAGCCATTTATCGATCAGACCAGAAATACGATCAGGTTTTTTAGAGTTGTCAAATTCAAATTTGTCAATAGGAATATTTCCGTCCCTATATCTCTCCATGATATTATCCACTATTGCTATGCTTTTCCCTGAGAATTCCAAGTTGGGAAGATCCAACCAGGCTAATAGCCATGTTTTGGAGAGAATTCTCATCCGGGATGCTTCTCGATAACTAAGATAACAGAGTATTTTGCGAATGAGGCATACAGGCAACATGTCAGCAGTCCCCATGGCTTGGAAGTTGCAGGGGAAGTCACAGTGAAAAAGTAAATCAAAACCCTACATACTCTAGGAACCCTATTATACTGTTAGTACTAGTAAATTTATCCACGCTTTTAGAACTGTTATAACAAACTTAAATAATAGCTTCCGCGCTTTTAGAACAGTTGTAACAAACTTAAATAACAGCTAATTATTATAGAAAATCCAATTATGTTACATTTCAAGTTTGAATCTTTAAAAAAAAAAAATCTGTAATTTTATTTTTATCTTTAATATTTTTATCGCCCTGGGATTTTTTGTCTTTTATAAATACTTCTGTTTTTTTTTGTCTTCTTTAGTATAGCCTACATATTTGGTCTCTTTTACGTTTTCATCTTTATATTTATTCCATACTAGCTAGCTTGTTCATTTTTATGAAAACATTTTCAAACAGAACTCAAAGGTAGGAAAGTTGGCTCTGTGCTTTATTTATTTTTCGATAAATTTTGCAATGACATTTAGCTTCCAGCTGCAAGAAGTTAGAACTGGAAGTGCGCTACGTTCACAGTACTTGATAAGATAGGTAGTTTGAGTGGGACTATTTAAATGGAAATGGAGAACGAAAACGCCCTCAAAGGAAAATGAACACAGCTGAAGAAACTAATCTGATTGCATATACGAAGAAGGAAAGTAGAGTTTTCTTGGTCTTTGTTGGGTGCTATAACTACATGTAATCGTCTTAGTACTAGTATGAACTACTAAGTTTGAGTATGGAAACGCATCCAAGGGTGTGATTAAAAACTATGTTAAGCACCATGAGGTCTCAAATTCAAATCCCAACGGAGACAAAACACAGTGATATCTAGTCTTAGCTTACAGAGTTAATTGGTTAGTTCTTCCGGTTTATTCTAGCGGTGATGGATGGGGTTCCCTGGTACCTGTTGTTTAGCGAAAAGTGACAGATATCTCAGGGAATTAGTCTACGATATCTCAAGTTGGCCCGGGCACCACGGTTAACCTTAAAAAAAGGTGGTAAATGGTTCTATACTGCTACTAAATAAGAAACGATGCAAAGATCACAGATATCACAAGTCGAAATTATATTTATATGCAGCATAACTTTCTCCTTTTTCAACAAAGTACATACTTCAGAGGTCTCAAGATGAAATTAATAGGCCTATCAGTTGCATACACGCGCAACTACTTTTAGAATTATAAGACAAAAACACAGTAAGATCTCTTATTTGAGTTATATATATCTCAATTGATTCTGTAATTTCGATGTATAACATAACAACTATAAGTTGGCCTCGGACTAACATATCAAAAATCCAAATATCAGAAAACAACTTTCAAGCTAACGTTAACTTAATCAAATTTTCACTACTGATAAAAAACCTCTAGTGGAAGACAAAAATGAAGTAAATCTCCCTGCATTTATTACTTTTTGCTGCGAAAAATTGAAGTGCAGTTTGTTACTTCTAAAAATAAAGGCATTCAATTTGCAATGGAATAAACTGCATCACCAATCTAATAAAAAGAAGTATTTCTTCGACTTGCTACTGGTCCTTATTGAGAGATCTCTTCCTCTTTTATGTTCTACAGCATGCCAACTCTGACTTTTCTGATCAAATTTGTAGGCTTTTGCTTCTTTTAATCGACCATGACGCAAATTCTTCATCTGCGTGAAACGATTCATGAAACATGTAAAAATTGCACTTGTTGATTGCAGGTCAAGTTTCCTGGGATGACAACTCCACAGCAAGGCATCAATAAATGTCGGGAACTCCCAATTCGGCTTTGAGAAGTTCACATCTAAAATGTCCACTTTGGGGATAACAACTCTAGATTGCAGTAGCAAATCTATCACATTTATCTCCTCGCATTTGTAAAAGTAAATGGTAACTTGAGACCACGAGATTGAATCTGATAAGGATTTCCTCAACTGACAAAACCATGATGCATCTACATCGAACAAGGGATAAAGAATCATACGTGATCGCCTCAATTTTCTTGATTCTTGTGCAAATTTAAGCTGAGGAATATCAATTCCTTTATACTCGAGCGAAACCAAATTTGGAGCATCAATTTCTCCTATGATCTTGCAATTATGAATCTTTAACACCTTTAGGGATTGACTCCTGCAAATGTCGAATCTTCCAAAAGCTATGTTAGCTAGTATCAGTTTCTCGAGGCTGTAAGGTATCGAGATAAGGTGGTTGAGATATACATCAGATATCTCTGCGCATGATATATCTAAAGTTTTCAGATTCTTATGTTCAACAATATTCAATTTATTCAAATAAGAACTACTATAATACAAGCGTTCAAGAGACGGTGCCTGGATTTTAAGGGGCTCATCATTACAAATGACAAGAGACCTGATATTAGGAAGATTTCGGATCTCAATATTTTTCAGCCAAGTACAATACCCAATGCTTAACTCAACAATGAACGGACAACTATTGAGTATAGTCAGAAGTATGGTCTCGTCTAAGAGTACAAGAGATAGAGAAAGATTTCTCAAAGAATGACACGTCACCACTTGATTAAAATGCATCATATTACAACCCTTCAAGACCAGTTCTCGTAAAACATTTGCTTCAAAGAATTTAACAATAGGGAAGGGGTATGTTGTTGGAATTTCAACATCTATGTACTTTACATGTCTTACACCATTTTGAAGAGCAATATCGAGCCACCTATCAATCACAGGGAAAATATGTTTAGACTTTATAGAGTTGTGTAATTCAAACTTTTCAATAGGAATATTTCCGTTCTTATATCTCTCCATGACATGATCCACTGTTGTTATGGTTTTGACCGACGAGACTGTAAATACCAAGTTGGGGATATCCAACCAGGCTAGTAGCCATGTTTTGGAGAGAATTGTCATCCGAGATGCTTCTTCATAACTAAGATAACAGAGTATTTTGCGAATGAGGCATATAGACAACATGTCAGCTGTCCCCATGGTTTAGAAGTTGCAGGGGATGTGACAGTGGAAAAGTAAATCAAACCCTATATATATATATTATAGAAACCCCACTATACGGTAATACTTGTAAATTTATCCGGGCTTATAGAACAGTTACAACAAACTTAAACAATTGGTTACAGATATAATAATAAAAATATATCATTATACAAAACAAAATCCGAATATGTAGGATTTCAAGATTGAATCTTTTTTAATTATCAACACTTGATTTTGTCTTTATGTTAATATTTTTATCACTTTGGGATTCTTTTTCTTTTATAAATATTTGGCCTAATTATTATTTTTTTGTGTATAGCCTACATTGAATCTTTTTTAATTATCAACACTTGATTTTGTCTTTATGTTAATATTTTTATCACTTTGGGATTCTTTTTCTTTTATAAATATTTGGCCTAATTATTATTTTTTTGTGTATAGCCTACATATTATTTCTCTTTACCTTTTCATCTTTAAATTTATTTCATACTATCTAACTGCGTTGGATTATTATGAAATGAAAATGGAGAATGAAAACGCCCTCAAAGGAAAATGAACATTACTGAAGAAACAAATCTGATTGCATCTAAGAAGAGGGAAAGCAGAGTACCTTGGTCTTTGATGGGTTCTAAAAAGAGATATATACTATGCTAAACTACGTTTACTCGTCTTAGTATTAGTTTGCACTACCTTAGTACCAAAACGCACCCAAGGGTGTGATCTAGCGGTCAATTTACTATGTTAAGCACAATGAGGTTTTCAAATTCAAATCCCAACAGAACAAAAATCAAATGATTTCTTGTCTTGGCGTAACAGAGTTAACTTGTGATTTCTTCCAGTTTATTATAGCCTTGATGGACAGGGTTATCTAATACATGTTGTTAGTGAGAGGTGACAGATACTCCGTGTAATTTGTCTAGGTGCGCTCAAGTTGTCCTAGGTACCACGGTTAACCAAAAATAACAAAATGAGTACTAAGACAAAATTGTTACTATGCACCAGCAGATTTGAGTGTGATTCAAGTATCACACTGGGATCTCTTATTTGAGTATAGCTCAATAGATTCTGTGATTTTGAAGTACAACATAACACCTACAAGAAAGCCTCGGACTAACATATCAAATCGAAGTATCAAGCTAACATTAAACAAAATTAAATTTTTACGACTGTGAAAGAGCCTCCGATAATATCAGTCTCTCAAGACAGTAAGGTATTGAAATAAGGTCGTTGAGATATCTATAAGATACCTCCGTGATTATCTCTAAAAATTTCAGATTCTCATAGTCAATAATATTCAATAGTTTCAAACAATAGTTAGAATAAGACAAGTGTTCAAGAGCTGGTGCTTGGATTTTAACGAGTTGGTGAATACAAATGGTAAGTGATCTAATATTACGAAGATTCAAAAGCTTAATATTTCTCAGCCCAGTACAATGCTCAATGGCTAAATCGAACATCTCGATACACAAGATGTCTTACACCACTTTTAAGTACAATGTCGAGCCACCTATCAATCAGAGGGTAAATATGATCAGGCTTTGTAATAGTTGTGAAATTCAATTTTGTCAATAGGAATATTTCCGTCAGAGGGTAAATATGATCAGGTTAGTGATTTCATCCACTATTGTTATGCTTTTGCCCGAACTGACTTCGAATTCCAAGTTGGGAAGATCTAACCAGGCTTGTAACCATGATTTCGAGAGAATTCTCATCCGTGTTGCTTCGCCATAACTAAGATAACAGAGTATTTTGTGAATGAGGCATACAGACAACATTTCAACTGAGCTTGTTTCCACATGTAAGTTGCAGGGGAATTGACAACTGAAGTGGAAGAGTAAATCAAAACCCTATACATCATAGGATATTACTGTTATACTAGTAAATTTATCCGCGGTTTTTACGTAGTTATAACAAACTTTAATAATAATTTACTAATATAATAATAAAAATATGTTATTATACAAATTCCAAATACGTAACATGTCAAGCTTGAATCTTTTTACTAGTATTAAAACTTCATTTTACTTTTATCTTTGGATTTTTTTTAATCACTTGGGGATTTTTTGTCTTCTATAAGTACTTGGTCTCTTTTTTTTTTGTATAGCAGATATACTTTGGTCTCTTTTTACCATTTCATATTTACTTAATTTTCTTATTTAAACTAATTTCGTACTAGCTAATTTGTTTATTTTTATGAAAACCATTTCAAACCTACTTTTTATCTTTCAAAGTTATTTTTTTTTAAAAAAGGAAGAGGCATAACATATTCAAGTGTTTTGTTATTCAATTTTTTGTATACATAAATACACTTAAATTTGTATAAAGTTCAATAGGTAGATATTTGAATTGTAAGTGGCCTAAAACACGAAGGATACCACGAAAAATGCAAATTGTCAGGTAAGATGACATATAAAAAGTATGTGATTATTTGTTCTACTTTATACAAGTTTAAGTGTCTATTTATACAAACTCGAAGTTAGAAGACATAAATGTAAATTAAGATAAGTTAAAGGACATGTTATGTTTTTTTTTCCAATATAAAGTTAAAAAACAAAAGGGTAAAGTCGGTAGAAATTAATTAGGGTTTCTAAAGTACTTATTTTTACTTCTCCATTGTATTTGTTCATTCCCCTTTCAAGCCACGACCATGGCAGCCACGGCCATGGCAGCCACGGCTGACATATTCCCTGAATGCGTGATTCACAAAATTCTCTGTTATCTTAGTTATGGCGAAGCATCCACAATGAGAATTCTCTCAAAAACATGGCTTCAAGCTTGGTCGACTCTTCCCAAGTTAGAATTCTTTGTGGAATATTTCGAAGAAACACAAATAGTGGATGCAATTATGGAGACATACAGGGAAAACAAAATCCCAATTGATAAGTTTGGATTTTCACATAGTTCGAAATTAAATCGTCGTGATCAAGTTTTCCCCCTAATTGATAAGTGGCTTGACACTGCTCTTCAGAATGGGGTAAGAGATATAGTCTATGTAGATTTTCTCTATTCAGTTAGGTTATATCCTTTTCCTATTTCTAATGTCTTGGCAGCAAATTCTTTAAGAGAATTGGATCTGAAAGGTTGTGACATTGTGCATTTTTCGCCATCTACTGGGTTCGCGAATTGTCATTCTTTGAGAAAGCTTTCTCTATCTTATATATTTATAAGCAAAAAATTGCTTCAGACTTTACTTAATAGTTGTCCGTTCATCGACTCTTTTACCCTTGATCGTTGTTCGGGGTTGGTAAAGATTGAGCTTATGAATCTTCAAAAGCTCAAGTCAGTTTCCCTATCAATAAATAGAAACCAACGTGTGAGAATCGAAGCACCAAGCCTTGAACACTTGTTTTACAATGGTTATTTATCGAGAAATTTGGTTGTTGTTGGATGTCATAATCTGAAATCTTTAGAGCTATCATATGTGAAGATATGTAATGGATTTCTCGATGACATTATTTCTGGATCGCAATCCCTAGAAGTATTGAAGATTCAGTATTGTTTGGGTATAAGCCAGATTGAAACTTCGAATTTGGTATCACTTGAGTATATAGGATATCAAATTCCTGAACTTAAAATTGCGAAAGAGTCAAGTCGATTGAAGCACTCAAAAATAGTTCTTCATGGCAACAACAATTTAGATGCGGCATGGTTTAGTATGTTGAGAAAGCTTCTATCAAATCCGATCTCTTGGTCCCAAGTTCTCCTCTGTTTTCCCGAATACAATGAGATTGAGATGAGAGATTTGCAGCAGCATCATGGAGTTGCTAGCCCCCGAGTGGACGTTTTAAATGTCAACATTATGAGGTCATATGGGGAGTGTTCAACGTTTGTGGATGCTTTGCTATGGAGTTGTAATCCCAGGAGACTCAACCTATCATCAACGGTTGAAATGATAGCATGTTTCGTTAGTCGTTTGATGTATATGAAGAATCTTAGTCCTTGGCATAGTCAATTGAAAGAAATAAAAGTGTTTGATGGGAAAAATCAAGAGCTGCAACTCACAAGTGGGGAACTGGCTCCGGAGGACAGGAAGGACGTTTATTTTTTATTAGATTGGTAATGCAGTTAGTTTATCAATGTTCATTCCTAAAAGTAGTCTAAAATTGTGTTGAAATTGAAGCATATGATTCTTGATTCCAGAGCTCAATATTTTACAGCCCAATCATGTTTTGTGAAGTTGTGAAATTCAAACTTGTTGATAAGAATATTTCCGTCTCTTGGTGATTTCATCCCCTAGATATTGTCATTCGTTGATCGTTGGGACCAGTCATGCCACTTCAAAGGGCCTATTTGTGCTGAAAGTTTATAAATACTTAGTTCATCAAAGAAAACTTGTAATGTAGTGGTTTTTCGAAAAGGCTGAAAGTGTTATTAGTATTTGTGTTTTGTGGAAAAAAAATATAGCAAAGTTTTTAAAAAGGGTTTGCTATATTTACCTGTGTCATTACTAATGACACATATAATAATGACACAGGTAAATATAGCAAAGTCAAAAAAGGGTAAATAAGCAAAGGGCGCAATGTTGTGAAAAATTTTATGATTTTTTGGAGGTACAAATAATCTTAGATATTTTGTAGAACTTTTTAAAGTTATACCTTCAATACTTGATGTATCTAGGAACTGTAAAGATGTTCTAGAGAAGTAGATAGTTATTGTGAATTCTAGAAATATCTAGATTCTTGTTAGATTGTTAGTAGATAAAGATATCCAGATTTTTCTTGTTTAAGTATCTAGAATAATTTGTAAAAGCATCCCTATACAAGTATAAATAGGAGTGTCATTAGAATTACACCCCTTTGAAGGGAAAAGGCGATTGAGGTCCTTACTGTTCATGGATTAACTTATGCAGAACGATTAAAGAAGATAAATTCAGTCTTATTCTTCATTTTTGACTATATATTGGGTAACACGATAGAGACGAGAAAAGTAGCATTAATTTCATGGAACAAAATCTGCATATTATACAAACAGATGGCCTTAATATCAAAAGTTACGGGTGTTCTTAATATCAAACGTGGTAGGTAGAATCTGGAAAAGATATATTGTTGTAAAAATTATTAGGTGTTTTCCAGATTATATTGTTATAAAAATTATTAGGTGTTCTTAATATCAAAAGTGATAGAATGTAAAAAGGATAAGTTCTAAAAATTATTGGAAATCTTGCGGCTCACATAGCTTGAAGCTTTCTAGTATTAAAACTTCTAGTAAATGTTCAATTTAAATGTTAATTAATTATTACTATCAACGCAATTATCCATTGCCATTATGCCATATCAAGCTAACGAACATAATGTATCCGTTTTTTTTACGAATATTTCGAGATTTACGTGAAATTCTCTAATAGTTTGCGATAACTAAAATATCATACTATCTAATACAAGTATCTCAAAAGATACTAGAATATATTCTAAAAAAACTTATGCATTACAATTTTGAACGAGAGATATGTTAATTGCATGACCAATTTAATAAAAAGCAAAACTTATCGTTATCGTCCCTTATTACCTTCCTTCCACTTCCAAGTTCCATAGGATCAGAATGCCATCTCTGGTTTTCCCAATCAAATTTATAGGCTTTAACTTCTATTAATTGACGATGCAAAAGCTTGTTGCTTCCATGAGAAGTAGAATAACTCCATCTCATCATATGCATTAAAACATCCATAAAATCTGCAATTGTTTTGCTCGTTGAATCAAGAACGAATCTCTTAGGATAACAACCCCGTTGCAAATTAGCATCCAAAAAAGTTGCAGGAAATTTAAATCCCGTATACTCCCATGACACCAAATTTGGGGCATCAATGCAAAACTTTTCAGCACCAGTAAAATAATACAAGTGTTCAAGAGACGGTGCTTCAATTTTTACAAGCTGCAGTTGGTCAGAGTGACGAATAGAAACCGACTTGATCTTTGGAAGATTATTCAGTATCTCAATCTTTTTCAACCAAGGACAAGAATCTAATATTAACGTGTCGATAAATCGACAACTATTAAGTAGAATCTGAAGCGTGTTTTCACCTAAATTAACACGAGTTAGAGAAAGCTTCCTCAACGAATTGCAATTCACCACGCCGCCACTAGATGATGAATCACAGTGCAATTCACAGCCTGTTAATACTAATTCTCTTAAAGATTTTGTTGCCAAGATTGTCAACATAGGCAACGGGTATGCCTCACGGCTAGAAACGCGAAAGACGAGATATTTTACACCATTCTGAAGTGCAATATCAAGCCACTTATCAAACAGAGGAAAAAATTCATTAGAACGAGTAGAGTATGATAACTCTAACTTTTCAATGGGGATTTTTTGATCTCGATATCTCTCCATGATATTATCCATTACTTTTTTCATATGGTGCTCGAGATAACCAAGTGAAAAACTCAAATTGGGAATAGTCAACCATGCTTGTAGCCATGTTTTAGAAAGAATACTCAATTGGGCTGCTCTTTTAAAACTATGCATACAGAGTATTTTATGAATAAGATATTGAGGCAATAAATCAGCCATTGTAGTAAGAGCCAAAAAAACTCAAATCCAAAAAAAATACTCAAATTAAGTACGCTGCAGACAAAAGATTGAAACAGATTTGTACATAAAGTTGAGTTTAAATAGTAGAGTAAATAGGGAGTCCTAGTTGTGTTCTATAACAATTTTCCTTATTTAAAATTTGAATATTAAAAAGTAAAATAATTAAAACTTAATTATAATACATAAGTTTTAAAGTACTTGTTTGTTTCCACAATGGTGGATATTTTTTGAATTTCTGTTTACTCGTTCAATTTTATTTGTTTTTTTAGAAGATAATATTATTTATCTATTATACCCTCCGTTTATTTAAAAGAATAATGTTTCTTTAAAAAAAAAGGTAAAACATTAAATTAATAAGTATGACACATGCATATATGTAAGTAATTCTGATACATTATAGAACGTATGTAATGTACGTGAATTAATTAATTATTGGATATATCCCCTTGTATCTGATATAACACAAGATTTAATAAATAATATTGTTTGTCACGACCGGAATCTAGACCCCAGACGAGACCGGCGTCGTTGACCTCTCAGAGGTCGCAGACAAGCCTGCTTACGTCATTCTTACTTTACATAGATTAATTTTAGCGGAAAATTTTGAAATTTTTTGATTCTTTAAATCATACTTGCTGAACATTCTTAACATTTCGTAATCGTTCATCATCAACCATCTAACATTTAAGAGATAAGCAACTGAAAGAAATAATTCATTAAGTATTAATTGTATATCGGCCAAAATAGCACCAATACAAAGTTTGAACCAAAACAGGAAAGAAACGCTAGTGGAACATGTTCCGCTAGCTCAACTCTAAAACTACGCTAGAATGTAAAACAGTAGCATCCTCGAAAGCATGAGGACCTACCAAACTCCGGATGAATACTGATGTCCGGATAGCTGCAACAACGAACCTGTAGCTCTAGCGTCCACCTGTGCCTGCACCTAAAAATAGATGTTCGTATGGAATTAGTACACACTTGTACTAAGTATGAGTATATGCAAGTACACACCAGGGACATGCATGAGGAAGAATAGCTCTATCCTAACAACATGATTTTTGGAAGTCAAGTCAGTGGACTTGCCAAATTGAGATTGGGAAAGTTATGCCATGAGAGTGACATGCATCATTATAATTATCGTATAGCACACAAAACATAACATATTCATATAACACATAACATATAACACATACTTTCTTTCATATTATTCATTCGTATACCATGAGACCTTATTATCATAGACTTAACTTTAAGACTTTCCAAAATGAGGGCTCAACATATGGGACCTCAACTAGGGAGCCTTCTTTAGCAAAACACAGAGTCTGCTTCACTCATTCATTCGTATTTCATTTCAATTCATTCATAGGCCAGTGCGAACACCAGCTATACCTAGGATGTAGTTTAAGACTCTCATCGGGTTTGCTGTGCAATGATCAGGAATGACCTAATGTCGTTACCTGAATCTAGCTCACCTCTTGATTATCCTATCCTAACACCTTCGGTATCATTCATTTCTTTATATGATTCGTTTGAGGCTGGCCTCATTCATTCATTGGGAACTTTAACTTTAACCGACATAGATCATGTGAGCATCATGAAATCCAGTGTCTTCCCCACACCGAAAAGAGGTGGAATCACCGGCCAAAGCGATTCAATAACATGCTAGCGTATATGGGAATTTAACCCCGCCAGATCCCTATAGTGGCAATATAGGTTCAAAGACTTGGAGATGTATGGAGACCCATACCCGGCAAGCCGGACAGTCTCATCTCATGAGAATTACGTGAACCTCCGCCCTTCCCGAAAGAAGGCATCACCACTCATAGCTAGCCTATCGGTGCTCGGTATAAAGTTCCATTACATGCAACTCATACATCATAGAAGTTTGCTTCTAGTATGAAGACATCATAGCTCAATAGATGATTTCTCATCTCATCATTAGTATTAAGTGTTTTAAACTCAATATTTTTATTAGAGTATTCATAGAGACTGGTCTCTTCATTATCTTACACTCTCATTGGTGAGTATGTATCGGTAACATTTACTTAAGCTCATTTAAGATTGCTCTCATCATATGCATTAACCTCACATCATGATTGTCACCACATTCTTCATTTCATTACATATATCTTAGGTTCACTTATTTTGAACGTATGTTAAACTTATATATCTATACATACAAGCCATGAGGCTTCATTTATAGTTCGTTAAGTGAATTCTTGTTTTTCTAAGATTATGTATTACAAGACTTATGTATCTTGTATATATGCCAAGATCTTTGATTTTTGATCTAAGTAGATGACATTATTCTTGAATATTTCACTCACGTATGACTTATGTATCAATACGGAGGTTTGGACACGAAGAACCCTAAATTTTTGAATTATTTGGATATCATTTATATTTTTCATTGTATTTTAGTTCTAATATTCATAAATTTAGAACTCTAAGTTAAGTCTCAACATTTTCGTGAAATAATAAATTTTCTATTTTAATTAGAATTCTAAATTAAATTTCAATCATTTACATGAAAGAATAATTTTCTAATTTAATTAGAATTCCAATTTAAATCTCAATATTTACATAAAAGAATTAATATTCTATTTTTAATTAAAATTCTAAATTAAATCTCAATGTTTACATAAGAGAATTAATTTTCCAACTTTAATTAGAATTTTAATTTACTATTATTATTATTTTTAATTAAATTCGCTTGAATAGGGAGGTTGTGGGTTCGAACCCCCACAGCCCCCCTCATTTTCCTCTTAATTTCGCTGGGAATGGAGGCTGTGAGGTGGTGGGTTCGAACCCCCACAGCCTCACCTTTATTCCCTTAATACTTTTATCCCCCCTTCAGCCCTGAGGTCGTGGGTTCGACCCCCGCCCCCAACATTCCCTTTTTAAATCCTTTTTTTTGTTAAGGCAGCTGCAGGGAGGTCCTGGGTTCGATCCCTGCAGGCCTCAAAACGTTTTTTTTTTTTTTTAATTCTTTGACATCCAAAAATTTCCAGATTCTTTTTAAACCTATTTCTATGTTTTTGGAAATTTATTCCACTATTTTTCTGCACTTTTTCATCAAGTTTCACATTAGTTCTTAGGGGAGATTTCATGGTTCATTCACTTCTCTATGCTTCATCAAAATGAACATCACATTGCACACCCATTTCACACATAAAACACATGATAAATAAACAACTTATATACCCCAAAACAATGCCTAAAACACTGCCCTATACACACCCATACATCAACTTTTTCCGGTCATATTCTGATGATCATTATCGCGATTTCCCGCACATAAACACACTCATATTTAATTTAAACACATCATTCATGCAAAAATCTAGCAGCACAACATACCCATCCTACAAATTCATTAGGGAGCTAAGGACAAGGACATACGAAGGGGAACAACCTTAGTTTCAAGAGTTTAAGAAACGTCCGAAAGAAAGTACTCTTGGAGAAAGAATTCCATGAGAGAAACTCATATCTTAATCGATGTTCAAACTTTAATGTTGCTGCCCGGAAAACTCCTCCAAACCACTCCCAATTCACTTCAAAGTATACCTCTCTCGGCGAACCTCTCTTAGCCTTGACGTTTTGATTACTTTTTCTTTTGCTTAAAAAATTTTTTGTGAGTTCTTCAAGCATGAAAATTATTGATATTTTGGCAGAAATAATGTGAGGAAGATGGAGAACGTGAGAGAGGGAGTTTAGAAGCGTGAGAGAGAGAGAGAGGGCTAATTGGATTAGGAGACTAATTCAAGAATTAGTCAAATAACATTAAAATAAATAAATACAAATCTGTTTTATTTATTTATTTATTTATTCATTTAAAACGTGAAAGGACAATTATGCCCTTAAATACCTATTTATTCTTATTTACATAATTCTCTTTTTTTTTTTGGAATCGTTACATTGTTATATACTAGATATGACAAATGAAAAATAATTATATCAGATATATGTCGATTCAAATTAAATTAAAATTAATAATAACTAAATCAATAAATATATATTATATTTAATTTTAATATTTTTAAAATTTATTAAATTAATTTAATTTTAATTTTAATTAATAACCAATTCAAATCGTTCGTGAAAACCTCACTTGAAACGGTGTTCAATTTTATGAAATTCTTTTTTCGGATAAAAGAGAGAAATTTTATAGAGTTTCTTTCTTTGTTGTACATGCAAAAACACTAGTTTGTTCATTTTTATCTTGAGAAAAGACATAAATACACCATCGAAGTTGTTTCATATTTGTATAAAGACACCTAAATTTTCAAAGTGTCCTATCACACCACTAAACAACTATATATCGTTGTAAATGAGTCATTTTTACCCATTCCCTCGTCTGGGTTGTTTACACGCACGTAAAGTGCCACATGTCATTTTCTTTCTTTATTATTAATTATTTCATCAATTTATATCATCTTCCCCAATTTAAACCCAAAATAGATGTGGTAGCCCTAATATTTTGATTTTTATAACAAGAACTATGTTGCTTTAGATTTCAAAGGTGTAACGCCTGAGTTGATTGACACTCGTTATGCTATTTTAGATTTGGTTATTCCGAGTGCAAATGATGATTGGAGCCATAATGAGATGGAGATAGTGGAAGTAGTTGTTGATCAGGTGATTGTGGCCCTATCCCATGCGACTGTTCTTGAAGAGTTAATGAGGGAGAAACTAGAAGCGAGGAACAGTTTGCAGCAACAGGCTAAAGAGAATGTTGTGAAGGCAAGCCAGGCAAGATATTCGTTTCAGAATTTAATGAACAATGGAATGAGACAACCAATGCACTTGATTTTGGGTTTGCTTTCCATACTTCAAGATGAGAACACAAGCACTAACCAAAAGAATATTATCGATACAATGGTGAGAATGAGCACCGTTTTGTTAAACTTAATAAATGATGCAATTGATATACCTGACAAAGACGAAGGGAGATTCCCAGTAAAAATGATGTCGTT